TGTGCGCCCTCCCGTGGGGGTATCCGCGATATGTTCTTTCAAAGGGGGTGGTGCGTGGCGCTGTTGATGGCGCGACCCATGGCGAAACTTATTGTTAACCTGTGTTGATGTGGCTGGCGCAAGCCGCGGCGCAAACTGAATCGCCACCCGCGGCGCAAATCGTCGTCCTCCCTCCTTCTCGCCCCTCCCCTCCCTTCGCCCTCGTTCTATCTGTTGCCCTCTGTTTTCGATGGCTTCGCCATCCACGTGTGGCAGGGAATAAATATACCCCCCAAAAAAGGGGGGCGATCGAATGCGAAGAGGGCGGGTATCAAGGGTTTGGGGTATGCATATTGAATTGCGCGCGAACGTACAAGCGCGAACCGTCGTAAACTGATTGTTGTTGTTGCTGGTGTTGCTGCTGTTGTCGTTGTTGCTGCTGCTGCTGTTGTTGTTGTGGTTGTCGTCGTCGTCGTCGTCGTCGTCGTCGTCTTCGTCGTCGTCGTCGTCGTTGTTGTTGTTGTTGTTGATGTTATTGTTGTGGTTGTTGTTGTTGTTGTTGTTGTTGTTGTTGTTGTTGTCGTTGTCGTTGTCGTTGTCGTTGTCGTCGTTGTTGTTGTTGTTGTTGTTGTTGTTGTTGTTGTTGTTGTTGTTGTTGTTGTTGTTGTTGTTGTTGTTGTTGCTGTTGCTGTTCCTGTTGCTGTTGCTGTTGCTGTTGTTGCCGCTGCTGCTGTTGGGTTTCGTTGTGTCATATCTAATGTATCAGCCCGCTCTGAGGCGAGGTTGGATCGGTGCCGGGAGAGGGCAGTGGGAGGTGAGGGGCAGCACGATGACCTGTCGGCGAGCCGAAAGGGTGGCGTTCTGGGAAGACCCCGGCTCCGCCGCCTCTCTCGAAGGGCGCCGGGGGCACGGTTCTCCGGGGAGTGGCGCCCGAACCAGATCCGCCCAGGGCTGGTTCTGAATCGTAGCCAGCTTCTTCGGCTGGTCCAGCCGGGGGAGGGGAGAAGGAACAGGAGGAGGAGGAGGAGGAGGAGGAGGAGGAGGAGACGGAGGAGGAGGAAAACTGGGAGGAGGACGCAATGGAGGCGGAGAGCAAGGACCAATGTAAATCCAAGACTCACCAACGATGTTGGAATACACCCTCCCTCTAAGCTCCCTCCTCGCTGGCCCAATTCATTTCCAATGAGGGAAGTGCCCCGTTGGGAGACAACCGTGCGAAAATTTGGAAGATTGCCGAAACACCACTCCCAGGATGTCAACGCCACGAATCAACGCCGCGGAAGATGTCCCCGCTTCTGCGCCAGAGCCATGTTTCTTCTCCAGGTCGTGGGATGCTGCCTCCAGCTTTTCGCCCCACTCTGGAGCCTCTGGGGCCCCTGGGCCTCGTGAGGGGTGCTATGGAGGCAGCGGGGGCCTCCTTGGAATTCCTGGGGGCACCCTGGGCCATGAGGCACTCCTGGCAGCACCCGACCACGGGCAGCGCGAGGGCGCGTGGGGATTTTCGGGGTGGCCGCACGACTTTTGGGGACTCGGGTTAAGTCGGGCATGTCCCTCTACAGGAGGAATATTCCCATATAGTAAAAACATCTTATTGGGACAATCTTTCTGTGATTTTTGGCAACTTCCTGCTATTGCTCCGAAGCCCGATGTAGGAAGACATGCCCGACCCAAGGCTCGGGGGCTGCTCTCGGAGTGCCCCGGGCGCGTGGGGCCTCGGGCGCCCCAGAGGCCCAGCAGAGTGAAGGCTCGCGCGGAGGCCCTGTTGGGCTTTCGAGGCCCTTGCGCGGCCTGTCACCGCACCGCTTCGGACCCCCGAAGCGCCCCTTCCTCGCTCGCGCCCGGCCGCTCACCTCCGGTCGGGTCCACCGCCAGCCGCCAGCCCACCCAGGCCAAGCCCAGGTTCTTGGTCGTCCCTCTGCTGCTGCCGTTCCCCGCCCGGCCCCGCCGCCCCTGGCAGAAAGGCTCAGGGGGAGGCGGTCTGGAAGCGCCGAGCGCGGGCAAGGACGCCCGACGATGATCAGGAGGGAGAAAGACACGCAGACACAATGAACCGTCGATTCCTCAGGAAATATGGGGAAATGTTGGAAGTGGGGGGGGGGAAAGGCAAAAGCCCAGAAAATGGGGGAAAGTAGGGGGGGTCCTGCTACACCTGAGTCTATTTCTCTGTGTGTCCCGGGGCCCCCCTCAGGCTTCCGGGGGAGTGCCCGGAGCCCTCTCCGAGGGGTCCTTCCCTGCGCAGCTGCTCGAGGCGGGTCTCCGGCCGTGGCGGCGGGACGCCGCCACGAGGCCCGAAGAAGAAGAGTGCCGAGGGGGGGGGGGCGCGCCCTCCTCCCAATTTGGTGTCTCCCTCCTTCTCTTCCTCCTCCTCCTTCCTTTCCTCCTCCTGGCACGCTGCGGGCAAAGCGGTTCTTGTCCGCCGCAGCCCGCGCCGCGCGCGCGCCCGAGCGCGCGGCGCGACGCACGACCCCCTGCCTCTGAGATCCTCTAGAGGGTCCTCAGGAGGGGGCCTCCAAACGCTTTCCTCCTCCTCCTCCTCCTCCTCCTCCTCCTCCTCCTCCTCCCTCTCCTCGTCCTAGCCTCCTCCTCGCAGCCACGGATCCGCGCAGCAGCGGCTCCACGGCCTGTTCAGGAGGGGACAACACATCCAGGCACACACACACACTCACACACACACGCTGCCCTGCATGGAAGTCAGAGAACGTGTGGGGAACGGAGGGGGAGAGGAGACTCCAGGAAATGCAAGCAAGTATTGGACATTGAGGAATCCGTGTAGATTTCTCTGTGTAACCCTGGGCCCCTTCAACTTTTACTCCGCGGCTGGCGACCCTCCCTTCCGTGCGGCCACCTTGCGCCGGCGGCGGCCCCGCCGCAGCCAGAGCCGAGCGCCCCACTGAGTGGCCCCTTCCTCGGATTCCGGCAGCCCCTCTTGGACAAGGAAGAGTCGACCAGACGAGACTCGGCCAGGCCGATCTCGGCTAAGCCGAATTCGGCCAGGCGGAACTCGGGCTGGGGCGACTGCAGCTTGTGGCCGAGTTCGGCTTTGCCGAGAGTTCAGTCTGCCGAGTTCGGCCTGGCCGAGTTTTCCCTGGCCGAGTTCAGTTGCTGCCTTTGTGGCGGAGCACGGTAAGCTTCGAGACACTGGAGGTGGGGAGGCGATTCCGAAGCCCACGGCGCCGATCACAGTCACGACGCGATCAAGGATCTCCAGGCCAGCCTGCAGAACATCACAATTGGGGGCCCCCAAACGGTGTGGTCACCACACCGTGTGGTGAGTCGGTGGGGATTCGGGGTCACCGCACGGTTGTGGGACTCGAGGCCCTCTCCGAGGACGTCTCGGGCGACAGGGGCATCCAGGGTCCCAAGACCGTGCGGTGACGGACCGTGCGGTGAGGTCTTGGGGGATTTCGAGGTCACCGCACGGTCTGTCACCGCACTGTCTCGGGACTCCAAACACGAGGAGCGAGTCTCCGCAGGAGAAGAATGCCACTCTCGGCCCCGACGCGGCGCAGCCAGAGGCCTGGCCCGAGGAGGCGGCTTTGGCACCCGTGGCTTCTGCCTCCTGGCCTGTCCCGGGGCCACGGCCCCTCCCGCCTGCTCTCCACTGGGCCGCGCTCGGGTGCGTGTGGGTGTAAGTCGGGCGTGGCCCTCTACAGGAGGAGTATCCCAAGGTAGTCAAAACATAGTACGGGGACGATGGTTCGATGATTTTAAATTATTTTCTGAATATATTGGTTTCGCGACCGTTTTCGTTTTTTCCTCCAACATCCCCTTGTAGGATGACAGGCACGACCGAAGTGTAGGTGGTGACCCCTGTTTGTGGCCCGCCGAGCTCAGTTGCTGCTTTTCTCCGGGGTTAAAAAATTGAAGCGAAGCTTATAGACCCCATCTTTCCGCGCCATCTTTAGAGCCTGATTGATCTGCGAGGGTCCCGGGGCCCGAAACGATCCTGCATCCTCCCTCGAAATCAAGCACATGTTTTTCCTGCGACCCAGGACCCCAAAGTGTCAATGTTCGCGCCGAAATTGGCGACTGCAAACACAACAATCCGACCCCGCGGGACGCATTTCGCGCGTCGACCACCAAGAACAAACTGCGTTTGATTTCGAGGATGGTTGTCTTACAGTGCCCCTTACTTGTTTTACACATTGTATTAGGTTTTCCTTGGGTTTTCTATGGGAGATCGAAGTTTAACTTATGGGAGAAAGGGGCCTCGTTCCTTCATTATACGGTTCCTGGTGACAGCGTTTCGACTGCAGATTCTGTCGCATTCGATCCTGGCAGCCCCTTTTTGTTGCCCCCGAGCTCCTTCGCCTGCTACTGGGGGTCTGCCTTTTGGGGGTCAGGAACATGCAGGCTCAACTTCGCTGATCACTGGGGGTTGTATTTTTGTCAAAAGCGATACCTTCCCTGCTCTTCCTGGGACAATTCCGCTGGAGATGTTTGGACCAAGCCAGTATTCTTCTCAGAGAATCAGTTTTCCTTAGTTTGCTCCTCGCTGACTCTGACCCTCGTAGCCTGACCCCCACCTATCGACTACACGTAAGAGTGACCCTTCGCCGGAGTGACCTTTGGTGCGGGCACAATGGGGTCCCCCGATCACCGATGGCGATGCGACAGTAGCGTCTTGCGCGCCCGAGTTTGGTCCCCCCGCGGCCCCCCAAAAGCCGCGCACCAAAGGTCACTCTTTCCCAGAGGAGGAGGAGGAGGAGGAGGAGGAGGAGGGAGGAGGAGGAGGAGGAGGAGGAGGAGGAGGGATAGGCGGTGGAGGAGAGGAGGAAGGAGGAGGAAGAGGAGGAGGAGGAGGAGAGGAGGGAGGAGGAGGAGGAGGAGGAGGAGGAGAAAGGAGGAGGCGGAGGCGGAGGCGGAGGCGGAGGCGGAGGCGGAGGCGGAGGAGGAGGAGGAGGAGGAGAGGAGGAGGAGGAGGAGGAGGAGAGGAGGAGAGGAGGAGGAGGGGGAAGGAGGAGGAGGAGGCGCCTGGGGGGGCGGGGGGCGGCGGCCCCGCCCTCCGCCGAGGGGCGGGCCGCCGCCCGCCGCGGGCCCCCGGCAGCCGGGCGCCCCCCCCCCGCCGGGCGCGGGCGTGCCGCGCTGGGGATGCCGCTCGGTGCCCGCGGGCGGCGTCGTCGTCGTCGTCGTCGTCGTCGTCGTCGTCGTCGTCGTCGTCGTCGTCGTCGTCGTCGTCGTCGTCGTCGTCAACGTGGGCGTTGGTGTCGTCAGGGTCGTGGGCACCGGTCGTCGTGGTCGTCGCGGTCGTGGTAGAGGTCGTGGTGGTCGCTGTGGGCGTCGGCATGGCATACTCGTGGCCGTGTGCGTCGTGGTCGCTGGAGTCGTCGTCGTGGTCGTGGCCGTGGTCGTCTCCGAGGTCACCGGGGAGCTTCGGGCCTCCAGGGAGCCCGTCTCGGGACATTAGCGGTTTGTGATTCGCTACGTCGCCGTCGGGGGCGCCTGTCCCAGAGCGGCCAAGGTCGAGGAAGCTGCGCCGCGGCCGAAGAGGTGAGCCCCTTTGGATCTCCACCCTCGAGGGTTGCAGGGCGGGGGCGCGCAGGAGCAGGAGGAGGAGGAGGGGGAGGAGGAGGAGGGAGGAGGAGGAGGAGGAGGAGGAGGAGGAGGAGGAGGAGGGAGGAGGAGCGGAGGAGGAGGAGGAGGAGAGGGGAGGAGGAGGAGGAAGCAGGGAGGAGGAGGAGGAGGAGGAGGAGGAGGGAGGAGGAGGAGGAGGAGGAGGAGGAGGAGGAGGGTAGGAGGAGGAGGAGGAGGAGGAGGAGGAGGAGGAGGTGGAGGAGGCCCGCGCAGCAGAAACCCTTGCATCATATCACCGTCCCCACCCTGCGTGCGGCTTTCGGGGGCTCCCCGAGACTGCCAGACAGTCCAAGTGATGCAGAGGGCCCAAGAGGGCCTCCAAGACGGCTCTGGTGCTCCTCAAGATTTCCGCAGGGACCCCAGGTGGGCCTAACACGGCCGAAGAATCGCCAAAGACAGCTCGCGGCAGAAAATTGTTCCCAAGAGGGCCCCCAGCAGGCAAAACTTCATGACTGTTCGTTGCGTTTTTGTAATTATGTTGTTTTCGCAAACCCGCCTCTTCGGTATTCGGAGTGTTCAAGACAGCCCAAGAAGCACCCGAAATCGCCCCCCATGCGTGCCACAACGCTCCGAAGAGGGCCCCAAAAGGGCCCCAAGAGAGAAAGGTCCAAGACGGCTCCAGCGAGCCCCGCGGTAGATCCTATGGAGGCCTCCCTGCCCCTTCAGATGTCCCAGGAGAGCTTTCAAGATGGTTCCAGTGTTCCCTAGGATGTCCGCAGTGCCCCGAGGTGGGCTCAACACGGCCCAGGGGCCGCCAAATACTGCCTGATGGCGCCCGAGGCTGAGGTCATCATTGCATGTGTGTTCTATCGAGCAGGTGCTTCATGCATGTGCGACCGGAGCTTGGAAACGCTGCAGTCTCGCAGCCCGTTGTTTCTGCCGCCCAGTCGATCAGCGGCAGGTTGTGGCTGCATTCTCGGTGGACAATGGCGAGACTGACCATTGTATATTGCACGCTGACTCAGACGTGACGATTCCCATCACATCTTTCGCTCCTATCCGAGCCTCCGTGTGTAGCAGGTGGGCGGGGCCTCCTTGGGTTGTTAGTTTGAATGCGGGGGACGCTGCTCCAGCCTCGCTTGAGAACGTCGCTGTGATGGGTCACGTGCCTCATGGTCGGTGATGGGTCGTGCGATGCACGACTGATGCTGAGCAAGCTCCACTGTCTCTGCTGCCAATCGTTCTTGGTGCAGAGGCGCAGTTGGCTTGTGCTCAAGTTTCGGGTGGACCTTCTACGGGCACGGAAAGCCGGTTTGCCGCGGGTAACTTGAGCCCGGCTGGAGTCACAATCGGCAGCTTCTGTGGTCTTGGCATGCATGTTGTGTTCTTGCTGTTCTGGGCGTCGGCGAGGTCGTGTAAGTGCGTATTTGGTTATGATTGCCATGTGGCGGTTTCTTCAGCGTCGTTCGCCCCAGTCTGTCCGCACGTGTAGAGGTGGTGCTGCATGTATGCACGATGTGAGTTTTGGGATGCTGCAGGTTCGCAGCCTGTTGGATTTCGTGCCCTCGTCGATCAGCGTACCATCTGAGGCTGCACTCTTGGTGGGCAATGACGAGACTGACCATTGCATAGTTCACTCTGACTGAGAAGTGACGACTCCCATCACATCTTTCGCTCCTATCCGAGCCTCCGTGTGCAGCAGTTGGGCGGCGCACACTTGGAAGGTCGGTTTGGATGCGGGCCATGCTGCTCAGCCTCGCCTGAGAACGTCGCCTTGATGGGCCACGTGCCTCATGATCGTTCTGACTGCCGTGTGGTGATCGTATGTACTGTCGGAGTTTGCAAACGCTGCATGTTCGCAGCCCGTTGGTTTTCGTGCCCAGTCTATCAGCGTACCATCTGAGGCTGCACTCTTGGTGGGCAATGACGAGACTGACCATTGCATAGTTCACTCTGACTGAGAAGTGACGACCGCCATCATATCTTTCGCTCCTATCCGAGCCTCCGCGTGCAGCAGGGGGCTGTTTCCTCTTTGGACGGTCGTTCTGGATGCAGGAGCGCTTCTCCAGCCTCGCTTGAGAACGTCGCTGTGATGGGCCACGTGCCTCATGATCGGCAACGGGTCGTGCGATGCAAGACTGATGCTGAGCAAGCTCCACTGTCTCTGCTGCCAAACGTTCGTGGTGCAGAGGCGCAGTTGGCTTGTGCTCAAGTTTGTTTCGGATGGATCTTCTCTGGGCAAGGGCAAGCTGATGTGCTGCGGGTGAGGTGAGCCCGGCTGGAGTCACGATCAGTAGCCTCGGTGGTCCTGGCATGCATGTTGTGTCATTGCTGTTTGGGTCGTCGGCGAGGTCGTGTAGGTGCGCATCTCGTTCTGACTGCCATGTGGTGATTCCCTGAGCATAGTTCGTGCTGACTGCACATTTGCATGTGGTGTATGTATGTGCTGTCGGAGTTTGCAAACATTGCAGCTTCGCAGCCCGTTGGTTTTCGTGCCCAGTCGATCAGCGTACCATCTGAGGCAATGACGAGACTGACCGTTGCATAGTTCACTCTGACTGGGAAGTGACGACTCCCATCACATCTTTCGCTCCTATCCGAGCCTCCGCGTGCAGCAGGTGGGTGGTTCCTCTTTGGACGGTCGTTCTGGATGCGGGGGCGCTTCTCCAGCCTCGCTTGAGAACGTCGCTGTGATGGGCCACGTGCCTCATGATCGGTAACGGGTCGTGCGATGCAAGATGGATGCTGAGCAAGCTCCACTGTCTTTGCTGCCCAATGTTCGTGGTGCAGAGGCGCAGTTGGCTTGTGCTCAAGTTCGTTTCTCGTAGAGTTTCCAGCAAACACACGGCACGCCAGTGTGCTGTGGAGGTTGTACTCATGATCGGCAGCCTCGGCGGTCCTGGCATGCATGTTGTGTCCTTGCTGTCTGGGGCGTCGGCGAGGTCGTGTAAGTGCGCATCTCGTTCTGACTGCCGTGTGGCGATTCCTTCAGCGCCGTTTGTCCTGAGCTGTCGCCGCGTGTAGAAGTGGCACTGTATATGTCCAGCTGCCTACCTACGGCAAGGCCCGCTTCCGTGCCAACTCAGAACTCTTGGTGGCGACTGCTCGAGGGTCGCATAGACAGCCGTGACGTGTCACACCTCGTGTCCTCAAGCTTTTGGGAGCCGTAATTCTCACGTGACTCGCTCTTCCGCGTCGTGTCGAGGAGTCTCTCCTCGTGTTCATCGTCGTTTTTCTCCCTTCCTCTTCTTCCCTTCTCTCTTGGGGCTTCTTTGGGGCCTCTCAGAGGCCTGTTTGGGGCGTGTTGAGGACCCTCTCGGGGCCTCTAGGGGGCTCCTTGTGCTGTCTTATGCGGCTCTTCGGCAGTCTGGCGCTTTTCGGAGTCTGTCTTGGGGACCTCTCTGGGCCGTCTTGGGGCCTTCTTGGGGCTCGGAATGGAGGCTTCTTGGGTCATCTTGGGTCACCTTGGGGCTCTCGTCGGGGCCTCTTGGGGCGTCTTGGGGCCATCTTGGGGGCCCATTCGGCCGTCTTGGGCTAGCAGAAGTGAGAAACAGCGATAGCACGAAACCCATGGAAAGACCAACGAGCAATCAATGATTTCGGCCTCTTCGGGCCTTCCTGGCGATCCTCTCGGAGCCCTCGAGGGCAGTGTTGGGGCCCCCCTTGGGCCGTCTCGAGGTCATCCTGGGTTGTCCTGGGGACATCTCGGGCCGTTCTGGAGGCATCTCGGGCCATCTTGGTGGCCTTGGTGGCCTGCCCTGGCCGGATGGGAAGCCGTCTTGGACATCCTGGGAGCCTTGGAGAGGGAGCCTCGGGAGGAGGAGGGGGCGGTGCACGCAGTCTGGCCTGACGAGCGGGGGGCAGGGCCTTTGTACGATTCCAGACACCTTGCAAGGCAGCGCTTGGACTTCTACCACGCCTCAACGCTCCAGGGTGCATTGTGCCGGATGTACGGTCGGAGCTTGCAAGTGCTGCAGTCTCGCAGCCCGGTGGTTCTCGTGCAGCAGGTGGGCGGTTCCTCTTTGGACGGTCGTTCTGGATGCGGGGGCGCTTCTCCAGCCTCGCTTGAGAACGTCGCTGTGATGGGCCACGTGCCTCATGACCGGTAACGGGTCGTGCGATGCAAGACTGATGCTGAGCAAGCTCCACTGTCTCTGCTGCCCAACGTTCGTGGTGCAGAGGCGCAGTTGGCTTGCGCTCAAGTTTGTTTCGGGTGGACCTTCTCTGAGCAAGGGCAAGCTGATGTGCTGCGGGTGAGGTGAGCCCGGCTGTAGTCACGATCGGTAGCCTCGGTGGTCTTGGCATGCATGTTGCTGCAGCTTCGCAGCCTGTTGGTGTTCGTGCTCAGTCGATCAGCGTACCACTTCTGAGGCTCAATCCTTGGCGGGCAATGACGAGTACTCACCATTGCATAGTTCACTCTGACTGGGAAGTGACGCCTCTCATCACTCTTTCCTCCTTCCGAGCCTTCCGCGTGGAAGCAGGTGGGCGGTTCCTATTTGGACGTCATTCTGGATGCGAGGCGCTTCTCAGCCTCGCTTGAGAGCGTCGCTGTGATGGGACCACTCAACTTGTGATGGTAACGGG